AGAGTAGGAGGAGGAACGGGAGAATGGGGGTTGGAGGCAGATAAGAAGTGGGGACAGGAACAGTAGGAGACGGAGGGGGAATGGGAGTGGGAGGAACAGGAGCAGCAGCCAGTTGGAGCGAGGGTGAATATATCGAGCAGGAGGCAGAAGGAGTGCGGATGAGGATGAGAGGATGAGAAGATAGAATGGGATTGAACGGAGTCGTATAGGCAGCTGAGTGCAGCGGTGACGGGGAGGATATTCAGAATGTTGGAGCTGATGATGATGCTGATGATGCTGATGTTGATGAAGCTGATGATGGTGGTGATGATGCATATGATGAAGATGATGATGATGAGGATGAAGATGAAGATGAAGATGAAGATTAAGATGAAGATGAATATGATGATGTCGATGGTGGTTTTATGATGATGACGATGACGATGATGATGGTGATGAAGGTGATGATGGTGTTGATGATGATAATGCTGATGCGGTTGTTGATGGCCATGATTGTGATTGTGTTGGTGATCGTGGCCTTGACTGTGACGACGATGACGATGGCGATGAAGATGGTAATGGTGATGGTGATGTGACGATGATGGGGTGGAGGAGACTGACGATGCTGACGATGGTGACTGTACTGTCGGTAACCGTTGTTGATCGATCGCGTGTCGTAAGAACGACCATAATGTTGATGAACGATGGTTGTGGTGGCTATGCGTATGACGGTGGCAATGCTGATCATCATGATGATGCTTCTGCTAATGGTGAATTAGCTGAAGATGAAAGAGCGCCAGTGGATCACCTAATTGAAACGGATGGGGGGCTCCCAGAACCCCCCCCCCTCACCCCCTTCAAGGAGGGGGAGACATTTTCGGACCCCCCCCTTGTGCGCTGGGGACGGGGGGGGGGCGATTTCGGACCCCCCCCTCCCCCCCGCTCTTTGGCCATGCAAGGGGGGGCTAGGGTTAGGCGTAAGTGGTATGGGGTCGGGTTTAGGGTATGGGTTAGGGTTAGGGTTAGGGTATTCGGGATTAAGGGTTAGGGTTGAGGTAGGGGTTCGGGTCAGTGTAGGGGTTAGGGTTAGGGGTTAGGGTTGGGGTTTAGGGTCGGGGTAAGGGTTAGGGTTAAGGGTTAGGGTAGGGGTTCAGGGTATGGGTGAAGGTCAGGGTAGGAGTTAGGGTTGGGATTAGGGGTTCGGGTTTAGGGTTTAGGCTTAAGGTTAGGTTAGGGTTAGGGTAGGGGTTAGGGATGTACTTAGGGGCATATTAGGGTTAGGGTTTAGGTTAAAGGGTCAGGGTTAGGTGTAGGGTAGAGGTGGTGGTTAGGGTAGAGGTTGTTGTTCGGGTAGGGGTTAGGGTAGTGTTTGCGGGTTAGGGTTGAGGCTTAGGGTTAATATTAGGGATCAGGATTACGGTTAGGGGTTAGGGTAGAGTTTAGGGGTAAGGGTTAGGGCGTAGGGTTGGGGTTAGGGATTCGGGTCAGGGTTAAGGATGGGGCTAGGGGTTAGGGGTCAGGTTAGGGTTAGGGTGTAGGGTATGGGGTCAGGGTTAAGGTTATGGGGTTAGGGTAGGGGTCAGGGCAGGGCTGGGGGTAGGGTTAGGGTTTAGGGGGTAGGATTAGGGCTTAGGGTAAGGGTTAGGGATTAGTGTCAGGGTGAGGGGTTAGAGTAGGGTTGGGGGTTAGGGTTAGGTCTTAGGGTTAGGGTCAGGGATTAGGGTTAGGGTTAGGGGCCAGGGTTAGGGGTAAGGGGTAGGGGTCAGGTTAGGTTAGGGGTAAGGGGTAGGGGTAAGGGGTAGGGGTAGGGGTAAGGGGTTAGGGTTAGGTCTTAGGGTCAGGGATTAGGGTTAAAAGGGCTAGGGTTAGGCGTAAGCGGTAGGGTTCGGGTTTAGGGTAGGGGTTAGGGTCAAGTTAGCCAGCTCAAAAGAGCCAGAGGGCTCCGTCCACTCCCACCCGCCCTCCCACAACATAAGAAGCAAGTGCGTCGCTTCCGAGGCCTGTCGCTCATCTTAGATCGTGGGCGGCTAGACGTTCAGCGCGCGACCTGAACTGCGTTCTATTCCTGCCGCGTATTGAGCAACGTCGACGAGAAACACGACCGCGCGCGATGTACGCCGCGCCCCGCGGGTATTCGGGGTTAGGGGTTAGGGTTGAGGTAGGGGTTAGTGTTAGGGTAGGGGTTGGGGTTAGGGGCTAGGGGTTAGGGGTTAGGGTTAGGGTTTAGGGTGGGGGTAAGGGTTAGGGGTGCGGGTTAGGGTAGGGGTTGAGGGTAGGGGTTAAGGTTAGGGTAGGAGTTAGGGTTGGGATTAGGGGTTTGGGTTAGGATTTAGGCTTAAGGTTAAGGGTCAGGGTTAGGGTTAGGGTCAGGGTTAGGGTTAGGGGTTAGGGGTATGGGTTTAGGGTTGAGGTTGGGTTAGGGTCAGTGTAGGGGTTACGGTTAGGATTCGGGGTTAGGTCCGAGTCATGGTTTAAGCTAGGTTTAGGGTTAGGGTGGGGGTTAGGGTAGAGGTGAGGGTTAGGGTAGGGGTTAGGGTAGGGTTGATGGGGTTAGGGTTAGGGCTTAGAGTAGAGTTTAGGGGCAGGATTAGGGGTTTGGGGTGCGGTTGAGGATTTGGGTCAGGGTTAGGGGTGGTGTGTGTGTGTAGGGGTTAGGAGTTAGGTTAGAGTTTAGGGTAGTGGTTAGGGTTAAGGTTAGGGGTTAGGGTAGGGGTCAGGGCAGGGCTGGGGGTAGGGTTAGGGTTCAGGGGGTAGGATTAGGGCTTAGGGTAAGGGTTAGGGATTAGGGTCAGGGTGAGGGGTCAGAGTAGGGTTGGGGGTTAGGGTTAGGTCTTAGGGTTAGGGTCAGGGATTAGGGTTAGGGTTAGGGGCCAGGGTTAGGGGTAAGGGGTAGGGGTAAGGTTAGGGATACGGGTTAGGGTTACGGTTAGGGTAGGGGTCAGGGTTAAGATCAGGGGTTAGGATAGGGGTTAGGGTTCGGGTAGGGGTTAAGGCTTAGGGTTAGGGCTTAGGATAGGGGTTAGGGTGGGGATTTGGGTTTTAATTTGGGGTTAGGGTAGGGGTTTTGGTAGAGGTTAAGTTTAGGCGTAGGGTAGGGGTTAGGGTTAGGAGTGGGGGGTTGGGTTTTAGGGGTTAGGGTTTAGGGCAGGGATTAGGTTGAGGGTTAGGTGTGGTAGGGATCGGGTTCCGGAGCCAGGGGCGGCGTGGCGAAAGGGGGGAGGGGGGGGGGGTCCGAATTTCACGTTCAAAGGGGGGGGGTCCGGACTTTTCCCCCTTTGAAAAGGGGAGGGGGGGTGTCCGCTGGCGACGGATCGGGAAACGGGGGGGGGTCCGCCGACGATGAAGCGGGAAAGGGGGGGGTCCCGGACCCCCCCCCTTGGGTGATCCAGCGGCGCGCCCTCAATAGGCGGTAGCTGCTGATGCTGATATTGATGTTAATGTTGATGTTGCTGTTGATGATGGTGGTGATGTTGATGTTGATGTTGATGTTGTTGATGATGATTATGTTGATGTTGATGCCGATGCTGCTGATGATGATGGTGCTGACGATGATGATGCATCTGATGATGCAGGAGGAGGGATGCTATGACGAGGAAGGCCACGGGTGGGTGAACCGCTATACGAGGATGTTCTGAGGACGAGGATGAGGATTGTGACGGTCATGACGATGACGCTGGCGCTGACGAAAACGACGATGCCGATGCTGATGACGATGACGAAAGTGATGATGATGCTGACGGTGCTGATGCTGATGATGGTAAGGATGATCAGGATGATAAGGATGATGCTGACGATGATGATGATGATGATGATGATGATGATGATGATGATGATGATGATGATGATGATGATGATTAAAGTGGAGATGCAGATGATGATGCTGATTCTTATGATGTTGACGATGATGATGGTAATGACGATGCTGATGCTGATGCTGATGCTGCTGCTGATGATGACGATGCTGCTGCTGCTGCTGATGATGACGATGATGATGATGATGATGATGATGATGATGATGATGATGATGATGATGATGTGATGATGACGGGGGTGGTGGTAACGATGGGGAGGAGGAGGAGCAGGAAGACGAGGATGATGATGCTCACGATGATGACGATGATGACGACGATGATGGTGATGATTACGATGATGAGCATGATGTGATGATGATGCTGCTGATGATGATGATGCTGATACGGATGACGATGACGATGACGATGACGGTGATGATGGTGATGACGACAATACTGCTGATGATGGTGGTGATGATGATTGTTGATGAGTATGATAATGATGCTAATTATGATGATGATGACAATGATGATGATGATGTTGATGATGATGGTGGTGATGATGATGATGTTCATTGTGATGATGATGGTGATGATGTGATGCTATGGTGCTGATGATGATGATGATGATGATGATGATTCTGATAGCCTTGATGGTGATGGTGACGGTGTTGGCGATGGTGATGATGATGGTGATGATGATGATGATGCTGAGTATGATGATGATAATGATGATGCTCATGGTGATAATTATGATTATGGTGGTGATGTTGTCGATGATGATGGTGATGGTGATGGTGATGGTGATGATGATGATGATGATGATGATGATGATGGTGATGGTGATGATGGTGATGATGGTGATGATGGTGATGATGATGATTGATGCTGATGATGTTGGTGAGGATGATGATGATGCTGATGCTGATGCTGCTGCTGATGATGATGACGACGATGTTGATGACGATTGTGATGATGATGATGATGATGATGATGATGATGGGGATGATGATGATGATGATGATGATGATGATGATGATGATGATGCTGATGGGGGTGAGAATGAGGATGAAGGATTGAGGAGGAGGAGGAGGAGGAGCGAGGAAGAGGAGGAGGAGCAAGGAGTAATGAACCAGCTGGGTGTTCTTCTCCTCCTCCTGCTCCTGCCCCTCCTCCCCCTCTCCCTCTTCCTCTTTCTTCCCTCTACCCCCCGCCTTCTCCATCCATCCAAGGATGCCATCCTCGAGAAGGGGCGGGAGGCGATGTCGCGCCTCGGTCTGCTCACAGGCGGCGCGAGGTGACCAATGCTGCGCGGCAGCGCTCGTGCACGGGCGGCCTTAGGATCAAGATATCTTCCTGCTGACCTCTGCCGATGGCCTCTGCGCCATCTTCTGACGATCGAGCAACACACACCCATACCCATAGGGGGGTCGTTGGGAGGAGGACTGGCTATGGGTATGGGTGCGGGTTGTCGGACCCTGGGGAACGCTCCCGTTCGAGCGGGGACCCCCATCCGACAACACGCACCCATAGCCCTCTCCGACCCCTCTATGGGTATGGGTGTGTCTTGTTGGTTCGTCATCTTCCAGCCTTCCTCCTGGTCGCCAGGCCGCGCGGCGGCCCTGCGCAGCTGCCACGACGTGGCGGGGCCCTGCGGAGGGGCCTGATATCCACACGCTTCGGGACCCCCGTACAATAGGGGTCCTGAAGCAGGAACCCTTTTCGTTGGGGAGGGGCTTCGTGTTCCTTGAGTGTTTCGCAGCTTGCCTTTGGTTTCTGTAGGTTTTCGAAGGGAAATCGAAGTTCAATTTCTGGAGAAAAGGGGCCTCGTTCCTTATCTAGGGTTCCTTAGGTCAACGCCCCTTCTGTACGCGGGCACCGGCTGCCATGGACATCTGGCGGCCCCCCGGCAACCCAGATCTTCCTGCGTGGTGGAGCAACAGGTCACGATGGAACGTTGGTGGCTAGTTTCGGCCTGTGGGATGCCTTTCGGGCCCCCTGGACCATCCCACACGACTGGGTATGAAGTATTTGGCGTTCCGAAATCATGAAGTCGGGGGTCCGGGTGCCCACTGAGTACACCCCGCTTCCACGACAAGAAACCACAGTGAGGGGGGAAGGCCTCCTTTTAGCCGTCTCCTCTGTTCATCCTCTTCCTCCCGCGACTTCGTCCACCTCGCCCCCTTCCTCTTTTCTTCCCTTCCTCCTCCTCCTCCTCCTCCTCCTCCTCACGACAGAGCTTAGCTATATCCTCAGTTTCCTGGTACTGCTGGCGCCGTGCATGCGCATCTTCTTCCCCGAGGACTTGGTGACCAGCCAGCTTCCAGGGCGCGTCGCCCCTTTCGATGGCGGCGCCATTGTCATCGGGGCCTCCAGCCACGACTGCGTGCTTGCGGGGGCGTGAGTCCATGTCGGTGCAGACCGCGCTCGGTGGGCGCAAGGCCATGTGCCCACTGGCTTTCCTGCAAGCGCCGCTGGCTCATGGAGTGGCAACCCCGCCTTCGAGAGCGGCTTCGGGTACTGCTCCACCGCCGCCGCCATGCCTTGCTTCCTCAACGCCTGCCTTGGGTGGAGTACCCAAAGCGCCATCAGGAGCGTCGCAAGAGGAAGAAGTTCAGGTCCCAGGGGAACTACGACGGGCAGTTGCGCAACAACATTCGCAGGAAGCAGAGGAACATCCTGCAGGCTCACGACACGGAGAAGATCGCGAGGCACAGGGCTCCGACGCATCCGCCGCCAGGGTCTTCGATATGCCGAGGGTCCAGTATCTGAGAGGATGGTCCTGGCGCAGTTCGCCGGTGGGCCAGAGACTCCAGCGGCTCCGAACCCTACGACTTTTCATCTTCGACGCCTCCGCCGCCGCCGCCGAGGGCGCCTGTCTTGACACCACCGAGAAGGGAGAAGGAGCAAATGTCCGAGGGCGCCGCCTCCTCGACCATATGGGGACGAATTCGCCGGCGACGGCCATGTGATGGTGGCCCGCAAGGCCGAGCAGAGATTCAGACGGTTGCAGAAGAAAGAGATCAAGCAGGAACGCATTATGAGTGAGAAGGATATCTATATATATATATATATATATACACATATTTTGGAGAAGTCCCTGAGGAAACCAGTGGTTGTTGGTGAATGCAGGGCTCACGCATGTGATGTGCAGCAAGAGCGCGACGCTCGACGTGATGGCGGTGGCGGAGCCGTTGGAGCCGGCAGCGTCGTGGCGCTGGCGCCAGATGAGCTTGATGGAGGTGAAGCGGCTGGTGGCACTACAGGAGCGCACTGCCCAGAACAAATACCTGAATGCGATGTTTCTGGCGATGGTGGGGCTGGTCGCGGCGACCGGCAATACACAGTTGTTAAACCACATGGTCGAAGTCTTCGTTTCCGGTGCCGAGGAGGCCGAGATGTTGCTGCAGGAGCTCTGCGACGGCAGAATCTCACATGTGCAGTTGGACAAGCAGGCGAGGGTCCTGATTCACCACCCACCAAACCACCCCAACCCAACCCGAAGGCTCAGATTTACCCTCGATTTCCAGTGGGGGGGGGTCGGGAAACATCGAAAAAACTCATGTGGAACCCTTACCCCCCCAACCCGAAATTCGGGTCTTCGGGTTCTGTTGGGGTGGTCTGGTAGGTAGTCACTGATAGCGCAGACCCTTGCAAGTTCTTCGCGAAGGACTGGCCAGTATTTTCAGAGCTCCACGTTCGTTAGCACCTCGGGGGCTGGCATCAACTACTCCCCGTGGTGTTCGTTTCTCCAGGGCCCCATCCACAAGAAGGGCCTCGTGTGCCCGCCCTCTTTCAGGAGGGAAAAACACACACAGACACAATTCATCGTCGACTCCCCAGAAAATATAGGAAAATATGGGAAGTGGGGGGGAAGACAGGAACCCAAAAAATATGGGAAAATATGGGGAAACTTCTTATTCGTGTGTGTGTGTGTATTTATTTGTGTGTCCCACGGCCCCTTCATTCTTCCCTGCTTGGCGATCTTTTCGACAGCTTGGCGTGCAGCGGTTCACAGCAAAATCATCCTTTTCCTCTTCCCCATGGTCCCCGACTCGCTGGACCTGGCACTGCCGCTGTTTACCGTGCTCCTGTTTACGGGGCGCCTGGCACACTTGATATTCGTGCGCCGGATGTGGGAGGCTGCAGTGGGGGTTGGACCGCCAGGGGTATGGCATTGCGCTGATTCGGCTTTGAATGTCGTCGAGTAGTTGTGATCGATAAGGGTCGGAGGAGGCAGCGCCCTGTGCAGAGGCTGTCCATCCCTCCTTCAACCTCCGAGTACGCCTCGGTGGCAGCATTTGCTTTGTGCCAGCTCTGGTCAAGTTGGCTGGCCCCATCCCGGGGCTTCCCCAGCCGTTGCGGCCAGATGCGACTCAGCGGTGGTCGGGAGGGCCGAGAGGGTGTCCCAAAGCGAGGTTGGCAGAGGCCAGTTGAGCAATGCGCACGGTGGCGTCCGTCGGCCCGCGCGCGGGGGCCGACGGCCACCCAGCCCCTTCTGTGGCAGCTCATGTGAGCCTCCAGTGAGGACCGACGCGGGCCGACGCGATTCGACGCTAAATTGGCGTTGGTCGACAGTAAATCGGCGTCGTATCATCGACAACTGCACGTTGATCGACGCTAACGCAGTCTGGATACAGAGTTGCGAGAGCATATTCAGATCCCATGACTTGCTGCCGAGAGATCTCTCGGGCCCAACTGGACGGGACAATTTCCCAGTCCACGGGGTATCAGCAGCATGTCCTATGTCGAAGACAATGCCATGCCTGCATGACATGGAACATGGACGTTGCGGCATTGACACGTTGTTCGCCCAGGTTTTCTTGAAAGGGCTGTGCGATTCGCCGACGCCGATCCCGAGGCATGACGCCATAACATTGGATTATTGTGACTTTAGGGCCCAGGCTTTGTGCAGGCTTGTCATGGCGCGTCGGGTACTGATGGGATGCGCACGCGCGCAGCCGGGTGCCCGACGATCCAGTCGATCATGTTTCGTGATATTCCATCGCACGGCCGCCTAATTGAATCAGTGCTCGAAGTCTATCAGACGAGTTCTGCGATGCTTCAATGCTTCCCTCCTCGTGGAAAATGACTTGCTGAGTGAAGAGTCGCCATGAAAAGGAGTAACAGGAGGAAGAAGGTTTGCTTCTATCCTTGGATCATACCTTGGGTCATACAGGCGGAACACGGGTGGTGAACACTTGTGCAAACTCACGTAATCATGTTTGCCAACGTGGACCCCAAACAGTGTGTTTCTAGCAAGAGATGCGGGGCAATCTTTGTAGATCCAAATACGCGGTGCAGTCCATGTGGTGCATTGCGTATATGATGGGAAGTCTATGTTGTGCAGCATGTATTATGCAACATATTTGACGCACTCTATGTGGAGCCATCTAGGTGGAGGAACCTGTTTCATGCAATGTTTGTGGTGCGATAGATGCTCTGCAACCTACGTTGTGCAATCTATCTTTACACCCCATGTTGTGCAATACGTGTGGTGCAAATTGAGTGGTGGGCAGTCTTCATGCTTCGACTGGCGTGGTGCAAACTAGGTGGTGCGATCTGTGTAGTGCGCTTTGTGTGGTGTGGTATATGCGGTCCGATGTATGTGGTGAGAACTTGGTTGTGACAGATATATTGTGCAATGTTTTGGTGCAGTGTATATGTATATCTATCGGTATACACATACTGCCCAATATATGTTGTGCAGTATCTGGTGTGCAGTATTTGCGGTGCAATCAATGTTGTGCAATCTATGCGGCGCAACGTATGTTGTGCAACCTATGCGGCGACGAGGCGGCGACGGGGCGGCAGCTCTGACAACATATCCGCCAGACCGTCCGTCAGGCCCAGACGACGGGCGGCGACGAAGTGGCGACGGGGCGGCGAGGGCGGCGACATAGCCGCCACACCGACCGTTAGGCCGAGACGACGGGCGGCGACAACGAGGCGGCGACGGGCCGGCGACGGTGGCAACAGAGCTGCCAGACCCACCGTCAGGCCCAGGCAACGGGCGGCGACGATGCGGCAACGGGGCGGCGACGGCGGCAACACAGCCGCCATACCGACCGTGAGGCTCAATTTCTTAGCCCAGAAGTAAGACACCCTAAGCGCAATTATTGTTTCGGGGACAGTCCAGTCCAGTCCAGTCCAGAAGCGATGCGCCTACCGGCGCGTCGGCAAGAGAAAACGCGAGCTCTTTGGCTCACTTTCGCGGGCTCGCGGCTGCCTCGGGAAGATAGCGGAAGAAGGAGAAGAGGAGAGGGGAGAAGACACAACAACATGTAGTCAGGTAAGCTTGTACTTTTGGTCAGCTCATTGCTGTCTCGGCCACCCCCTGCGCCTGCGGGCTGCCAACTGTTTGGGCGCGCCGTCGACGTTGCAAACTAACTTCTTCACTAAATACTGCCGTCTTGAGCGCAGATATTTCTGTACAGCTGACTTGTCGACCTTTCATAATGGATGACAGAGGATCAGAGCCAGCTCGCTCTAAAGTATCGGCGTTCGAGATACGAGACACATACGAACATTGTATTTTGAGAATTTCGTGGAGACATTTGCAATGTAATGCATCAAACCTCGCTTTATTTGCTTGTAGAAGCCGGAGCGAGTCCAGGGAGTATAACAGCTTGCTGACCACACATGAAAAATATATCTGAAGTTCCCGGCGTAGACTGATAAAAACGTGCGCCATAATTTATGCAATTGCTTGAAGACGCCACTGGTTTTGCCCAGACGCAGGGACAGTTCGTTTCCTGCCCTCCCGTCGCACGGAATCAACCCACCAAGATACACAGCTTCCCGTAGTGTTTCGATTTGCCTCCCATCTGGCGGGTGTACAAAACCTTGCGTCGATATTTGCATGTGTAAGGTTTTGCCCCATTTGAGTTCTAGTCCATGTTTCTCCCCTTCCGATACGATGGCCCCCAACATTGTTTCCAGGTTCTGTGCGTGCTTGGGTAGTAAAAGCGTGTCGTCTGCATACAACAAGTTCCTCGTAACCGCATATGCAGGTTCATCCAGAAGTTGGTGTCCTGATAATGCGTCGTGCAACATAACGGTCTGAACGGCGATGAAATGGTATGGTGATAAAGGAGAACTTTGAGCGATGCCAGCTGCCTGTCTGCGCTAGGGCGGCCGCAATGGTCAACGATCGTGCATAACCTCTGCGCGTAAATACCACGTATCATATGAACAATGGTATCAATTCTCTGCTTAATTTGTTTTCGTATTCTTCTTGAACTGGAAGGCGAGGTCTGCCGTAGTCAAGAAATGGTGGTTATTCAATGCCACATGCCTGTTAGATTTGCAGCCCGACACCCAGGGGAGAACAGAAGTGTGACATACAACGTAATATATCTGAGAAAACGTCTGTGGACAGAGATACCCACCAATCGGTCTGTTGCCACATCTCTGTATGTTACGCGCTCGCTGTCTGGAACGTCAAAGAAAGTGTTCGCAATGAGCAGGTCGTTGCCAACGCATCATTCCATCAATAATTGTCTATTCGTCACGTTGTCCTGTGCTTACCCTGTGCCCCCCGGAGCACGTATTTCCCTATGATGTGTTTGTCACCTCGACCTCGTTACAATAGCTTTGCATTGGCGGCTCTTTCGGGCCGTTTGGGGGCTTGGGGCCTCTGGGGGGGGGTGCTCTTGGGGTGGTAAGATCTGGTTTTCGGTTCGTGTTCTCCCTCTTGGCCTCTCTTGGGGCGGTCTGTGGGCGTCTTGGGCCCCTCTTTGTGTCGTCTTGGAACCCTCTTGGGCCGTCCCGGGGCCCTCGCAGGGGCCTCTTGGGCAGTGTTTTGGCGGTCGACGCGGCCTCTTGGGCCGCCTTGGAGCGTCGGAAGCTCGAGACGACGATAACCCCAGAACTAGCGAACCGCATAAGGGAAACCATTGCATTTTGCCTCTCGGGAAGGCTCTTGGGCCTCTCTTCGGGCGCCTCGAAGGCGTCTTGGTGCGCGTTGGAGCCATCGTAGGCGTCTTCGGCCATCGTTCGGCGATTCGGAGTCGTCTTGGCACGTTTTTGAGGCCACGGATGGCAGCTGTGGAAGCTCCAGGGTCTCCAGGGAGGCGCCTGGGAGCTCGTGCACCCGCTCCTCAAACGAGATTTTGGACCCTGGGGCAGGGGACAAGGGGGAGGGAAACAGTCATCCACTCACTCTGATGATCATGATGATGCTGCTGCTGATGATGATGGTGATGGTGATGATGATGGTGATGATGATGCTGATGATGATTCTGCTGATGCTGATCGTGATGCTGATGCTGATGCTGATGCTGAGGTGGATGCTGCTGCTGATGATGATGATGCTGTTGATGATGATGGTGATGATGACGACGATGACGATGACGATGCTGATGCTGGTTATGATGATGATGGTGATGCTGTTGACGATTATGCTGATGATGATGCTGATGATGATGATGAAGACGATGACGGTGACGATGATTATGATGAGGGTGATGATGATGATGCTGATGCTGATGACGATGACGATGATGGTGACGATGCTGATGATGATGTTGATGATGGTGATGACGATGATGTTGATGCTGATCGTGATGATACTGCTGGTGATGCTGATGATTATGATGATGACGATGATGTTGATGACGATGCTGATGCCGACGCCGATGCGGATGATGATGTTGATGATGATGCTGCTCATGCTGTTAACGACGACGGCGATGATTCTGATGCTGCTGACGATGATCATGAATATGATGATGACGATGCTGGTGCTGACGATGATGCTGCTGCTGATGATGATGATGATGATGATGATGATGATGCTGCTCATGCTGACGGTGATGATGCTGCTGCTGACGATGATGATCATGATGATGGTGGTGATGATCATGCTGCTGATGCTGATGATGATGATGATGCTGATGCTGATGCTGATGACGATGATGATGACGATGCTGATGCCGATGCCGTAACTGATACTGATGCTGATGTTGATGTTGCTGCGCTTGTTAATGACGACGACGATTGTAATGATGATGTTGATGATGATGGTGACGATACTGATGATGCTGATGATGCTGATTCTGCTTTTGCTGATGATGATGCTGATGCTTTTGCTGCTGATGATGATAATGATGATGCTGATGATGATGATTGGTGGTGGTGGTGAGTTGATAATGATGATGCTGATGATGAGGAGGAGGTGGAGGAAGAGGAGGAGAGGGAGGAGGAGGAGGAGGAGGAGAAGGCGGATGAGGAGGACGAGGAGGAAGAGGTCCACTTTGGAATTCTCTCTTTCCGTGGGATGGCTTCATCCGCACTATCGCGAGTTGGAAAGACTGATGATGTACGGTGATACAAAAATGCCGACAGTGCATTATTCTGGCGTCAGTCTCCGTACAAGTACATTGTCTCTTGATTATCACGAGGTTAGTATCCAAGAGGGGCACCCGACGTGTGGTAATGCGTAACACGACACATTCCATGTGTGTGGTGTCGGCTGGAAGGCGCATCCGTGCTGAACATGGCGTCGGAGGGGCGACACCAGTTACAGTTTTCTGCACCAGTCGCGCGGCATGCTCTGTCTCTGCGCGGCCGGCGTGCACTGTACGAAAGCAGGGTCGAACCATCGAAAGCAGGGTCGAACCATCGTGAAGTAGTTTTGGGACCTTGCGTGGTACAGCCTGACGTCCCCGCCCCTGCTTGGATGTCGCACGGGCAGGGCCGATTTCTCAAAACCGCCGGAGGGTCTCGGCGCAGGCGCTCTGTGGGGCGCTGCACGCGCGCGGAAAAGAGGTCACGACACTCCTCAAAGGCCAGGGAGGGCAGGTGGGGGGACGAGCCGTTGCCGGCGCATGTGCAGTTTCTGCTGCCGCCCTTGTTCCCCGCCAGATGTTGCTGATGCTGCTGTTCCGTTACTGCTGTGCTGTTGTTGCTCCTCCCCCCCTTCGTCATCGCCGTCGCCGTCACCGTTGTCGTTGTCTTCCTCCTCCACCCCTTCAGCCTCAACTACTCAATATGAGTACCACACTTCTCTCTTCGAGCACTACGTGTTGAAAGCGTCCCGCTCTTCATGTACTCTGTTTCTGCACAGGACTTGGTTTTGTCGATCGGAACATGTTTGGTGTAAAAATCGGTGCTCCCGCTGCAGCGTGTGCCTCATTTCCTTGCCGATCCTTCCTCATCAAGGGCGGCTCTTCTTCAAAATCTGGATCCTGTTTTTGCGCCGGGCACATGTGTTTTGACAGTTCACGTGGAATTCAAGGAACCTCATGGTTAACGTCCCAGAAATGGTGTTTTGACACGATGTCTCACTGTCAGGGCACAACAGTTGCGTCGATTTGTAGTTTTGAGGTCTCAGGAATGGTGTTCTGGTACGTGTCAGGGCCGCAAAGACACAACCACAACGGTGATTCGTGGCTTTCAAGTCCCAGGAGTGGTTTTCTGGCAGAGTTCAGGAGTTTCAAACTGTTGTTTTCAAGCGGGGTATTTTCTTCAGTGAGAAAGACTCTTAGTAGGGTATTGTAAAGAGGGAAGATTTATTGCAATATCGCTAATGCATCTTGGGTTTACACTGGCCTTCCTCCTCATCTTCCTCCTGCTCATCCTCCAGTTGACCTGCTACCTCATCTTCCCCCCCCGATGTCCGCAGCTCCTCCTTTTCACTCAAGCTTAACACGATGGTGTCCTCATGAGGGTTCCAGGTCCGCTATGACACCCATCGGTTGATAGAGGAATCAGCGCCATGAGAAGGGACGAGTGGGCGGTATAGGATGTCAGATATGGCGCGAGCGCACCTAGCTTGCCTTCTCCCCCCTCTGGTATCCTTATTCCAATATGAATGCACACATCTTGGGAAGATCTCTGTTTCTGCATTTCTTTTGGAGGGCTCGCCAGAACAAACCGATGTAGACAGTTTGTGTGTGTGTGCGCGCAAAAGGAAAGACTAGGCCCCATCTTCGATTCGACTCGACTGTGTAGTAATGACTTCCATAGCTGTGCCGATTGTGAGAGATATAGTTGCAGTTCGGGATGTAGCTTGTACCCCTCACATTGGTTTTGTTGTGCACCTCCAGAGGATTATCGAGGGCTTGTGTAAGTTGCCCATCTTCCGAGGCCTCGTAAGAACTCTTGCCCTGTGTCAATGTTCAGTCTGACCAGGATCCATGTGACTGTCGAGTTGTGGATTTGGAAAACAAGCACGACAAGGCGGCAGAGGGCCCTAAGCAGCAACTTTCAAGACTACAGAAAGCGTTCTACCGTGCTGTGCATACTGGAGACCACATCGCTCCCGCGAGATGCTGGGGTTGCAGCAGTCAGGAGGACAACGTTCGCCGATCCGTATATGCGTGCAGTGGCGCATGGTTTGGCGATGTCTCCGGAAAGTCCGCCACCCAGAATGGCGTGGAGGATGCTGCACAGACCGGGTGCGCCAACGCGATCAGTGCACTGTCAGGGCCTTGCGTGGGCAAGCGAGAGTCACCACCCACCAAACCACCCCAACCCAAAACCCGAAGGCCTCAAATTGACCTCCATTTCCAGTGGGGGGGGGTCGGGGAACATCGAGAAAACACATATGGAACCCGTACCCCCCCCAACCCGAAATTCGGGTCTTCGGGTTGGGTGGGGGTGGTCTGGTAGGTAGTCAGAGAGCCTTCCGACGACCCCTGCGCCCGAGAAGGGCAGACGCTCCTCATCCACGCCCTCCCCCTCTTCAGCCCTCTCCCTCTTGCCGCGCCTCCCGCCGAGGAGGGAGGGAGGGAGGGGAGGGGAGGGAGGGAGGGAGGGAGGGAGGGAGGGAGGAAGGAGGAGGAGGAGGAGGAGGAGGAGAGGAGGAGGAGGAGGAGGAGGAGGAGGAGGAGGAGGAGGAGGAGGAGGAGGGGGGGAGGAGGACGAGGAGGAGGAACCCTCGCGGCCGCGACCGCGCCCCCAGGCCCCCCCCCCCGCGCTCTCGCGACCTGGGCCGCGGAGGCGCCGCCGCCACACGCGCGGCCCGGCGCCCCCGCACGCGGCGCGGGGGCCCTCGGGCCCCACCTGCTCCGGGGGGCCCCTCCGCGCCGCGCCGGCCCCCATGGCCACCGAGGCCTCGGGCGCCGGGCAGCCGCCTCTGGTGTCAGACCTCTCCATCCTCGTCCCCCCCGTCCCCTCGTCCTCGCCCTCGTCCACGCACCCTCCTGACCCTCGTCCTCGGCCTCGTCGTCGTCGTCGTCGTCGTCGTCGTCGTCGTCGTCGTCGTTGTCTTCGTCGTCGTCGTCGTCCTCGTCGTCGTGTACCCTCCCTCGTTTTTTCCGTCTTCTCCCCTCCCCATCCCTCCCCCTCGCTCCTTCCTCCACCCCGCGGCCGCGCCTCCGCTTGAAACCCATGAGTTATTTTGTCTCAGTGGCAGTGCCAGAGAAGAAAGGATTGAGCAACGCTGAACGTGAGAAGGGTCTTCAATCGGGGTTCATCGATGTCGAGCGAACTCGCTTCTATATTCCCGCCAGAAAAGACATGCTCGTTAAACTGCCCGAGGGGGGCTGCGAGCCAGTCGCGCGCGGCGCGCTATGTAAGTCCATGTGCGGAACCCGAGATTATGCCAGCAACTGGGGGGATTGTTACGTGGACGCTGCGAGATCAGTCGGGTCTACCGGCGGCGCGGCATCGCCGTGTGCATTTGTCGCGAGGCGGGGAGAATCTGGCCAACCGTGCACGGCGATGATATCGCCTTGTTTGGGAGCCACCTTGACCTCCATTGGTTCGACAACAAAATAAAGGATGGGTTCGGGGTGAAGGTGCGAGGGTCGCTGGGGCCTGGGGAGGAGGATGAGAAAGCCGTCAGGGTACTTAACCGGATCGTTAAATGGACGCGCAATTCTGCGTCGCATGTGGCAGATCAGAGGCACGCGGCGATAATTGCGAAGGAGCTAGGTTTGAATGAGAGCAGAGTGAAAGCGGATGCACCAGGAGAGAAGTTACCAGTGGATGAAGGAGACGAGGAAGAGGTGTCATTGAGTATGGCCGAGCAGTTTCAGGCCACGACCGCCAGAGCGAATCTTTTAGCCCAGGATCGATCGGACATTCAGCTCTCACTCAATGAGTTGGTCAGGTGCATGGCGATGCCCGCTGTGGGCTCTTGGAAGAGCTTACATGAATTATGCAAGTATGTCAAAACGCACGGTATGTCAGGTTACCTCTACACGTATCAGGACACACCAGGTGGATTTACGGCGCGGCCGGACACGGACTGCGTTGGGTGCCAATGAAAGATGCAGTCGATGTGAGCGGGGGAGTAGTGATGCGGGGATTTCATGTGATCTAGTCTTGGAGAACGACACAGAGTGTTCTAGCGTTGTCGTCGGGGGGGGCGCAGTATTGCGGGACCTTGGAAAGAGCGTCAGTTGAACTGGGCGTGCCGTCATTATTCAAGGATTTTGAGGTCGAACGCAGTATCGTAATTAGGAGTGCCGCTGCAGCCATAGCGATATTAAGCAGGCGAGGGCGTGCTCAAGTGAAACGTACTGAAGCGTGCCAGCTGCCGCTGCAAGAGAGAGAGAGAGAGAGAGAGAGAGAGAGAGAGAGAGAAAGGTGTGGAGACATTAGCGTGGTGAAGGTTGGCGCGCACGAGGACATAGCAGACGCATCAACCAAATGCGTGGGCTAGGGTGTCGCGAGCATGCGTCGTGGCTCAACCTCAGCAAACAGCACGCGGGGGCAGGCGCAGCGTGGAGCCTGAAACATATTGTTTACCATCGCAGCACTTTCGGCTAACTCAGGCTTTAACGAGGAATACATTTTACAACTACCACCTCTTTCCTCCCCGCATTTTTTGTTATATATATATATGTATATAAGATACAAAAAGGCCCAGGCGACGCTTCGCATCACGGTCGAAGGGCGCGCGTTTAACGCCGCAGGCGATAAACGGCGCGGGGCGCGACGCGCGGGGGGCTCGTCGCTTATCGTCGAGGCGGTGAACGAGAACGTCGCCGCTCTGGCCCATTGCCGCGGCGAAGTGGAGGCCGCGCGCCAGCAAGCTGGATCTGTTATCGACGAGATCGTTCTGGAGCGGGGTCAACCGAGCCAGGGCCTCATGGATCTCACTCGCGCTAACGAGGAGCTCGTTCATAAGGAGGAGAATGTGGCCTGCCGGCTCGCTGCAATTGCCGACGCCGGCGAGGATCTTAACATGCAGGTTGAGGCCCTCAATGAGACGAAAAACACTGCGGACCGTGAGCGCGCTCTTGAATACTAGCGGACTGCCGGTTGAGGCGCGTTGCGCAAGGGTGGTGGAGGTGCAGGGCGCGCGCGCCGATCGGCCGCCAGTGCCCGCGCGCCTTAACTCAAGGCCCAGGCGGGGGCAACCCTCGATGCCATTGCCGATCGGTTGAAGGAGGTGGCCGATGTATTGCGCCGTCTCGCGACGAAGCGGCGCGCTGACTCGCCGCGGTATCTGGCGGAGAGGAGGCGCATTAAAGGCGCCGAGCCTCGCTTCGCGCAGCGCCAGCCGTCGCGCGACAAGATTGGCGCTCCCGCTACTCCGCCAGCAGCTCAGATGTTCGCTCCACTTACCTCTGCCAGCAGCCCCGTCTCCTCCAGCCGCTCAGAGTCCGAGTGTCGCCGCTGGCGGCAGCGGCGGCAGCGGGGGACTCGCTGGCCTTGTGGAGGCCCCCGCGGAGGATGAGGGGCAGGTGGCATTATCGGACTGAACGAACCAGCCCAGCCCGCAGTCGCAGCAATAGGGCAAGTGGAGGGCAGGTAACCAAGGTCCGTGGAGGAGCGCGTCGGCGACGTCGTCAACGCCCCCGGCGATCGCGATACGAATGAGGTCAATATCCTGGCGAGGACTACCATTGGGATGTCCAACTTCAGAACGCCGTTCTCCTGTGTAGAAAGAATGCAGCTCCTCGAGGTGGGGGGCGAGTTCCACGGCCCTTCTTGCCGGGCCGAGCCGGGCGATCTTCATTGGCTTACCAAGGCAGTCGGATACTTTGCGGCATTGTTGGCATGGTGAGTGGCACAACGAGACTGCGACCAGGCCGTTTAGCATCGGTGGAGGGGTCGTCGACCGCGACGGCGTTGGCCAGCATCGGGCGTTCGAGTGTGTCTTTGGCCGCCGCGCCAATGGCCCATGGCCGAGCGGCGTCCTCAGAGCCCCCCCGTCGCGCGGTTCGACTTTCTTCCGTCTGGCCGCGAAGCGGGGCATGAACGTTGGTTTGCCGAGGTCATGCACGCGCAGGCGATGGTGCCACAGGGTCACCGTGGTGCCACTGGCCACAATGTGTTTAACGAGGCAGGCTTGGTTCCACGACAAAGCGGCGCCCGACGCTCAAGTGCGCGTCGACGGGTTGCCCGGGCGACAGGGCCTCTAGCTCGTCAACGTTCCGTTAACGTGGCTCGGCGTGCTCTGGCAAGGGAACCGCGCCATCGTGGCCGTCGGCGTTCTCGTCGAGGGTTCCAGCGCTAACCGTGGCGACATTTTACATGGGGCGGCGGCGATAAGATGCGTTGCCGACAATCTTACGCATATGGTCGTTCAAATGGCAAAAGGACTCCATCTTTGCCACAGTCAGCATCCCACACTACTTCCAGGGTCTTGGCGACCAGGAGATGCGGCTCGGCTTGGGGCAGCGCCCCTCGGGATGGCACCGCGCCTGACTTACCGCGGAACCGACTGTTGAAAACAAGATGCGGGGCAACGACAGGAAAGGACTTTATTCGCCGCTGCGCGCTCGGCCGTGGCCCTGCGCGCCGTGCGATCCTCTATTGGCAGGCCTGGTTCACGTCGTGCGACTTTGACCAATGGGTGAGTAACGGGCACCAGTGGTTTGTTGGCCCACAGAGCGGATATGCTTACCCGGCAAACAGGAAGATCAATCCAACCTTGGCACCGTACATCTGCGCCCTGGACGCGTCTTATTGGTCAGCGCTGGGCACTTGCCATCCCCGCGCCGACTTGGCCATTCGCCAGGCGCGCAACGACACCACTTACATGAACCACGCCCAGAGGGAGCGTCGCAGCCCACGTTGCCGCTCGAGCACGCTGTGTCGCCATGCCGCGCAGAAGCAGGCGGAAAGGGCGGCTTCGCGGCTGCCGAGGCGCTATCGTGGTTAACGGATAACTGCGTGGCCTATATGGGCTCTTCGGCATTGGATCTTCGCCAAGGGTATCCGTTTTTTTTTTTTTCTTCCCTCTCTCTCTCTCTTTCTATCTTTTTCTTAAACTAAAAAATACATGAACGTGAACATCCGCGTTCCATATGCATTTATTTACTATTGACTCACTTAAGCAAACGATTCGGGCAAAAAGGAGCGAAAGCAGTCATACTAATCACACGTTCGCCCTCCGTAGGACGTGTCAGTGCAATTTGTAGTTTCGAGTGCCACGCGCACCCGAGTTTCACGGGTACCCCAGTTAGCACGGTGACCGCGCTGATGCATGAATTCGAATTTGTCATGTCGGTTCGTATCCGCAAAATTGCAAAATTACAGTATTGTATTACTGACACCTTCCTCGTTGCGTCGACGGCTGTTTCGTCGGCCGCTGAGTCGGCCGATGGGGGTGCGTCAAAGCATGTGTGGGCAACTGGGGAAGCATACCGGCACAAGTGAGCTGAACAACTGCCGTTATCGACGCTGTATGGCTCAAACTCTTAACGTTCGGAAGGCTAACTCATTCTAACGTCGCAGGGCGCTACTACGCCGAACCCTTTTCTGGATATTTGACAGGAGGGGGGAATTTATGAACTGGAGGAGGAGGAGGATACGGACGAGGAGGAGGACAAAACGAATGATCAGAAAGAGAACCAGGATGATAATGAAACGGGGGGACGGGGATGGAGGGGGAAGGGCAGGAGGAGGATGAACGGGGGATGGTTGGGGGGGAAGGGGCATCGGGAGGAGGAGGAGGCCGAGGAGTAGGAGTAGGAGGAGGAGGAGGAAGAGGAGGAGGAGGAGGAGGATCACGAGGAAGATGAGGAGCCTGAAGAAGAGGAGGAACCGGAGGAAGAGGAGGGGGAGAAGGAGGAGGAGGAGGAGGAGGAGGAGGAGAACGAGGGGGAGAAGAATGAACAGGAGGAGGACGATGCGTTGCGCGCGACTTCTGAGGAGGAGCAGCAGGCGGAGGCCGACGCCGTCGACGACGGCGGCGATGACGATGACGACGACGCCAACGGCGACGACGACGACGACCGACCGACCGACCGACCGACGACAGGTGCCACCGCCGAAATGCGCGTGGCTCGCCGCCGAGGGGCTGCGGCTGGAGGCGCGGCGCGGGGAGTGGGGGCGCTCGCGACGGACCGCCGCTAACGCCGTGCAGTGCACCCCGTCGGGCGAAGGGAGAAACCAGCAACGAGGAACACGGGGAGAATCAGGATGATGGTGGTGACGATGATTGTGATGGTGATGGTGACGGCGATGATGATGATGATGCTGATGATGCTGATGATGCTGATGATGATGATGATGATGATGATGATGATGATGAGAATAACGATGATAGTGATGGTGGTGGTCCTGGTGATGATGATGGTGATCTGGATTGTGATGCTGCTGATGATGATGATGCTGCTGCTAATGATGCGTATGACGATGCATATCTATATGATGATTGTGATGATGGTGCTGGTTAGTATGCTTCTTATTGTGATCACGTTGCTGCTAATGATGATGCTTATGATGCTGATGATGCTGCTGATGATGATGGTGATGATTATTACAATGAAGATTTTGATGCTGCCCATGGGGTGAGGATGACGACGGCGATGACGAAGACGATCATGATGATGCTGATGGTGATGATGATTGTGATGCTGATGATGATGATGATGATGATGATGATGATGATGGAGATGATGATCATGCTGGTGACAACGTGATGCTCTTGATGGTGATGAGGATGATGATAATTGTGATAGCGATGAAGACACGATTGCTGGTGATGATGGTGACGATGAGGATGACGCGGATGATCATGATGATGATGATGCTGATTATGTTGGTGTTGACGATTGGGGTGATGATGAGGCTGGTGATGGTAATGATGGTGATGATGATGATGATGGAGATGATGATCATGCTGCTGCTGCTGGTGATGATGGTGATCATGATGCTGATGACGACGACGACGATGCTGATCAGGATAATGACGATGACGATTATGCTGATGACGATGATGATAATGATGACGAAGCTGATGATACTGATGCTGCTGATGATGCTGGCGATGACGGCGATGATGATGATGATGATGATGATGATGATGATGATGGTGGTGGTGATGATGATGATTGTGATGATGGTGATGTTGGGTATGATTATGATGACGAAACATATGATCATGATGATGATGCTGATGCTGCCGCAGCTGATGAAGTTGTGACCGTCGATGATCCTGATGACGAGGATCAGGAGGAGGTAGAGGAGCAGGAGGATGTGGATAAGGAAGATGACCATTCGGATGAAGATGGTGATGGTGCTGTTGGTGTTTACGATGATGCTTATGCTGATGACGACGATGGTGTTGATGATGATGGTGATGATGACGATGCGGACAGTGATAATGCTGATGCTGTTGCTTCGGATGAGGAGGAGGGGGAGGAGGTGGGCGAGGATGAGGGTTGGGATGATGATGCTGGTGGTGATGCTGGTGCTGCTGCTGACGATGACGGCGATGTTACTCATCATGGTGATTCCGATGCTCATGCTGATTATGATGATGGTGATGGTGATGGTGGGATTGATTGTGATGATGCTGATGATGATGGCTTGTATGACGGTGCAGATGAACTTGATGATGCAGATACGTTTGCGGGCGAGTGTGTTGATGCTGTTAATGATGATCATGGTCGTGATTCCGATGGGGAGGATGATGATGATGGGGATGGCGACGACGACGACGATGGTGATGATGATGCTGATGATGTTCGGGATGATGATGCTGACGATGCTGATGATGATGCTTCTGATGCTGATTATGATGGTGAGGCTGCTGCTGATGCTGATCATGGCATTGGTACAGGTGAAGGCGATGCTGCTGCTGATGCTAATGATGACGTGGATAGGACTGATTGTGTCGATGATGTTGTAGTGATGGTAATGATGATGCGGCTGGTGAGGATGATGATGCTGATACGGATGTGGACGAGGAGGAGAGGATGAGGATGCTGATGATGATGCTGCTGACGGCGATAAAGATGGTGATTGGTGACGACGGTGCTGCGGGTGCTGTTAATGATGATGCTGATGATGTTGTTGTCGATGATGGTTAAGACGATAATGATGCTGATGACGTTGATGATGATGATGTTAATCATCATGCTGATTATGCTGATCATCATGGTGATGCTGATGATGTTTGTGACGATCATGCTGATGCTACTGATGCTGGCGACGACGACATTTCCGACGATGATAACGATATTGATCGCGATTACGACGATGACGCTGATGCTGATGCTGATGCTGATGCTGATGATGATGGTGGTGGTGATGATGATGATGACGATGATGCTGATGATGACGGTTCTGTTGCTGATGATTGTGTTGCTGATGCTGATGATGGATGTGATGCTGCAGCTGATGATGCTGCTATTGATTGTGACAGTGAAGATGCGGCTGGTGGGGATTTCGATGTTGGTGATGACGGTGGTTGCTGATCCTGCCTGATGCAATGCATGATGATGATAGTGAGGCTGGTGCTGATGAGGATACACATGGTGATGATGAAGAAGATGAATTTGGTTATGCTGAGGCTGATGATGCTGATGATGATGATGATGATGATGATGATGATGATGATTATACTGCTGCTGCTGGCGGTGATGATTATGCTGTCGCTGCTGCTGATGATGTTGATGACGATGATGGTGATGGTGATGGTGATGGTGATCATGCTGATGATGGAGGTGGTGGAGGAGGATAACGACGAGGTTCGCGTAGGAACGCGTAGGAGCCAGCGTCGAGCAGCGAGGAGCGAGGAGCGAACACGAGGAGGAGGAGCAGCGAGGTGGAGGAGCGAGGAGGAAGAGGAGGAAGATAAGGATGAGGAGGAACGAGGAGGAGGGGAGGAAACGGATGAGGAGGAGGAGACGGGCGAGGAGGAGCAATGAGGAGCGAGGAGCGAGGAGGAGAAGGAAGAGCAGCAATGATAAGGTTGAACAGCTTGACGACGCGGAGGAGGAAAAGGAGGAGGAGGAGGGGCATGAGGAGCAGGAGGACCAGTGTAAACCCAAGGCTCATCAAGGATGCTGGAATACGCCCTCCCTCCAAGCAAGCTCCCTCTTCATAGAGCCCTTCAAGTGAACACATCCACTGAGCGGATGACCCAGTTGGGGGGGGAACTTGGCGAACATCCTGGAGCGTGCCAGAAGTCTATTTTCAGGACTTCAACGACGCGGGTTAACTTGATTGTTACGTCTTGGCGTCCTGAATCGTGCCGGAACACCGTTCCTGGGACTTCAACACCGTGAATCAATGTAACCGTTGTGCCCCCGACGGCACAAATTCTTTCTAACGCCGTTTTTGACACGTTAACCATGTAAACAGTAACACCAACTGTGCGTGGTGCTTAGGTGAGAGCCGCATTTTGAAAAGGAACCGCCCTCAATCTGCGAAGCGCTTGCCATTCGTTCGAATACATGTGCGCGGCGCTGAGGCTAGAGCCACATTTTGAACACCGTCCGCCCTCAATCCGCGAAGCTCTTACAATTTGGTCAAACGAACGAGCGCGGCGCTAAGGCGAGAGCCACAATTTCAAAACCACCCGCCTTTAACCCGTGAAACTCTTGCAGTGTTTAAAACGAATGTGCGCGGCGCTCGGGCGAGCGCCACATTTTGAGAACGAGCCGCACTCAATCCGTGAAGCTCTTGCAAGTTTTTATTAAACGAATGTCGACGGCGAAAGGCGAGAACCACCTTTCGAAGTCCACCCGCCTTCAATCCGCGAACCTCCAGCAAGTTTGAAAATGACCCGCGTTCAATTCGTGATACTCTTGTTCATGTTTGAAACGAATGTGCGCGGCGCCAACGCGAGAGCTACAGTTTGAAACCAACCCGCTCTTGATCCGTCAAGCTCTTGTGAGGTCTCAAACCATATTCGCGCGGCGCTGAGGCGAGGGCCGCATTCTGAGAGCGACCCGCCCTCCACCTGTGCAGCTGCTGCCGCTCTGCACGCCTCAGGATCAGACATGGTGCAGAAGGCGAAACGCCCTGTCGGCGATCTCGACCGCCCTCGGGGTGCGACAGAGACGAGCTCTCTGCAAGGAAACGGAACGGAGGAGGACGGGAGGACAAGAAGCGAGCAGGACCGAGGTTCGAGGTTTCCGATTCTTTTTTGGGCACTCTGTGAGGTTTCTCGTCGCCACGTTTGGATTCACGCCTCCCACGGCAGACTCGGGCTGGGTGGGCAGGGGGATCCTTTGGATGTTACCGTTGGCGGGAACCTGCTTTTCACCTGAACTGGCGGTTGGACTCAAGGGCTGCGCGTGGTCATGCGTCATCGCTGGGGGCCAGAACCTTCGTCGCTGTAAATGCCAGTTTCGACGTTTCCGTAAGTGTAGTGCGATCATCAGTGCCGAAATCACCAGCGGTACTGATTCCACCAGCATCCGTTTCGCGTGCCATTCCCTTCCATTGTTACTTCCGCGTGCTGGCGCGGCCGCTACGACGAGGGTTGCTGCCATTGCGGCCGCTTGTGTCACTGGTACTGCACGTTCGATATTCAGTGCAGCTTATGACTGCAGGGGCTGTAAAAGGACAGCCGAGACGACGGAATTGCGCCGAGCATTGGGTACAGGAGCCATCACGTTCCCAAGCCAATCAAGTCCCGCCACAGGTTGTACAGTGAGCGGCTTGAGTAAGGAACCCTTTTCGTTGGGGAGGGGCTCCGTGTTCCTTAATTGTTTCGCAGATTGCCTTAGGTTTTCCTTGGGTTTTCCATACGAATTCGAAGTTTAACTTATGGAAAATAGGGGCCTCGTTCCTTACTTAGGGTTCCTTAGGTCAACGCCCCGACTGTATTGACGACGGATGCATGTGCGGTGCGGTCCACGAGGGTCATTCTGCGGCGCGGGGTTCTGTCCGTGGTGGCAATACTGGCAGCAGTGGGGGTGGGCGGTTGTTGTCGCCTTCGTGGTCGCTGTCATCGCCCTCGTCGTTGCTGTCTTCGTCAAATGTCCGCTGCGCCTAGTTGCTCCCATCCCGCCAAGTGAAGCCTTGGCACCGGTCCTTGCTGTTCACCGCGGGGTATCGAAGACGCCTACGGCG